TTTCTCAATAATTACAAAGATGTTGATTTTACAATATCTCTATTTTTTTTTTTCAACAAGTATTATTCTTTAGGTGTGTGTCTTGAGAGAAAAAAGTAAATGTGATAAGCAAGGAAGGAATGAGGCTAATTATTATTAAAAAAAAATATATTAAATCAAAGGAACCTTTCACTAACAAAAGCAAGAAAGAAAAGAAAGCAAAGAAAGCAAAGAAAGTGGATGTGAAAAAATTTGAAAACAATGGTAATAATAATAACAGCAATAGTAGTGTAGTAATAAAACTAAAGTTAATTGACTGCGTATAGATTATATATTTTATATAGCACACATAACAATGCCATTATTAAAACTTGACTAAGCATGTGACCTCAATTCTTTGTTTCCCCATATAATAATATAATTTTCCCAAAACCCTGCATGTAGATAGATAAATTTAATCAGTATTAGTTAGTGTTCATTCCCCCCCCACAATCCATTTTGTCCTTTGATTCTATCCATATCTAGTTAAACTCTTTTTTTGACAAAGATCTTCAATAATAATTCCAAAAATAGTGCCATCTATTTTAACAATGCACCAAAGGAATTAATGAGCGTAGCGAGCGGGTAAATTTAATTATTATTATTGTTAGCAGGTAGAAGTTAAGGAACCAACAATATATACATTTTTTTGACATCTCTTTGACAACTTTTATGTGGGGTAAAAACCTATAAATTTATGAATGATTTAAACGCCTACAAAAAATTAAGGGGAAGGAGAAATTAATTGATTGGTATTATTAATATAAAAAGTAATTCAAACCAATTAAAGTCTTTTTTTTTTTTTAATTAAAGAAAGGATGAAAAAAAGTGGAGAAGAGGATATTTTTGATCGTCATCATATCATCAGCGACAGGGCGTCTTTGCATAATAAATTAATATGTTGATAATTTTGGCGTTTGCATCACGAATTCGTGATGATTATTTAATCAATTTGTAAGGAAAAAAGAAATGTTATTAGTGAATTAATTTAAAAAAGGCGTTTTTTTAAATTCTTCTATATATATTTGTATACACACACACACATATATATTTTCAATTGTCACAAAACTAGATTAATATCACGTATACAGTATATAATAATGGTAAATAATGAAGATTGTGATAGTATTAAATAAGGTAATGTGGCAGACATAAATAATTGGCTATTAAAATGCCATCTATCATCATTAACCATTGCAATAATTCAAAATCACAATTGACCCACCACCGAAAACCCATTGCATTCTTTATTTCTAAATAAAGCTTCTTCTCCGCATTTTTTCTTTACATCATCATCATATAACATATACAAAAAAGTTTTAAATTTTATTTTGATTGGATTATTCTACATGATTACCATTGTTATTATCACCTTTTGAACAAAAATTAATCTAAACAAATGCACGACCGGGGGAGAAACATTGCGATTTCTTTAAAACTATATATTATATTACACACACAAAAAAATAAACTCATAATAATTTATGACGAAATATACATTTAATTTAAAATAAACTGTGTATATTATAACTCAGGTACAACTCAGTATCAATATGACTTGTTTGTTGGTTTTGTTTTTAAATAGGCTGTATGGTGGTGATTTTAAGTATGCTAGATTATGATAAATTATTTATTGTTGATGTTGCAGCTGATAGAAGAAGAAGCCATTATTATTGTTGTTATTATCATTATTATTATCGTTAATTGTTATTAGTGATAAAAATTTGTGGTGTAATAGGTAAAGTATAAATTTTTTTGTTGACTGTCAAAACTGTCAAAATAATATATTTATTTACATGTATTGTTTCTCTATTTATTTATTTATTTATTTATTTATTTATTTATTTAATCAATTATTTATTTATTAATAAGATTTATTTTTATTTTCTCGAGATTAATTAATTAATTAAGTTTAAAGACGGGGGAAAGTGTGAAGAAACGAGAGAAGAATATTTTTTTACAAACAAATAATTATTATGTCTGATCAATTTCCATGATTTTTTTTTATATTTCTATGGGTCAAAAGAAAATAGATTCATACAATTTATCCAATAACCGAATTAATTGCTTTGCATACATAAACAAATACATTACATATCAATTTATATATATTTATCAATGTGGTAGCAAGCAATCAAAAAAAAGTCATCATTATTATATTTGTTTTATTTCCCCACACACACACACACAAAAAAAAAAACACACACACACACCACATACACATTTAGGTCAAGGCTCTTTTACTTTCACATTCTTTTTCATTTCTTTATATATTCTCATGAAGATCATCTTCATTTATGATATTTTAGAAAAAAAATTTTTCTTTTCAAAATGATAATGAATAGATAAATATAGAATATGAATGAATCTCTAATGCGATAGATACTTTTGTCTGCATGTATGCTGTATGTATATATATGAGAATATAAACTTTATTACTTGCGTTTTTTTCCTCCTATGCAATTTTTATTTTTTCCTTCTCCGCTATTTCCTATTTTTCTTTGTTCTTTTTTCCAATGTGATAATGAATTGTGATAATAATATTGTGATAATTGTGATGTAAATGTTTAAAATAAAATAAAAAATAAAAAATTTTTTTTTTATAACTCTGAGACAACAGAGCGACATAATATTATTTATTTGCCATTTATTTATATTTATTTATTGAACAATAATTCTACGCACATCTCTTTGACCAGTTCCAAATTTTCCATTACAATAAAATCAAAAATATCAAACTATCTACATTGCATATTTTCGTTTCCTATAATGCTCATAATGATCTGTCTAATATTGGAAATCAATGGATTATTAAAGTTTGATCATATTAATATGTACGTATGTATGTGTGTAATAAATAATATACCATATAATGTGTAAAGCAATCAATTGCATACAATTAAAAAATAATAATTGAGTGAGTTTGCTATTGTTAATAACTATTTATTATTATTATTATTAGTGATTTACTTTTTATGATATGTCTAACTGATTTAGATTTGATTTTAGATTGATCTGTTATTGAATCGATTTAGATTTGATAAAAATAATCAAGTTCATTATTTTACAAAAAAAGGATAAATCGTATATTAATGATATGTATGTATGTATGTATATGTATTTATGTATAAAACTAAAAACTCTATTACAAATATTAATAATAATTAATGGTTTTGAATCCTTGGATTTGGAGTGGGGCAAAAAAAATTTTTTTGTAAACAAATCAAATTGAATTAATAACATGTCAAATGGTTGTCAAAATAATTATTAAATTGTTGATCACTTCTTTTTATATTTTTTAGTTCTACTTCTACTAATTTTTTTTTTCCAACATTAATTCACAATCGCGCAACCTTTGTCAATTGTCACTTTCCCTAAAAAGTTCCTGTAGAGAGGCTGTTCTTAGATGGAGGTGTTTTTATATAAGCTAATAGTAATTGGTTCTCAAGATGTGTGTTCTTATAGAGAGGTTTTTATATGTGGAGAATTCTTATATGAAGGTATGATTTTATATATATCATCATCATCATATTATTATTACCATGAAACTTTTGTCTCCGTAAATATTTATACGTAGCAAAAAAAAATATTATTGGTAAGGAGGATCATGGTAAAAATGGACAATTTAGCTGTTTGCTGGCTGCTTACTACTCTTAAATCTTAAGTTTTATATATTAGAAAGACAATCTAAAAATTCTAATATTCTATTGTGTATGATAATTGGCACGCGTGCACGCACACGCACGTCAAGGAGAGAGAGAACAAATTATAGTAGAAAGCTGTGACAAAATTTGGTACAAGTTAAATTTTTTTTTTATTAATCGAAAGAAAGATTTAATCATTGAGATGAAAATAATTATATATCATATTACTAATATTATACAAGTTTTTGTTAAAAAATTATCAAATTATTCTTTAATCACATATAATAATTGGTGATGTGATTATTAGTATATATATATTTGTGATAATTAAGAATAAAGAGAGAAATAATTTAGAGTCTAGAAAATTACGATAATTTTCATTATAACAATATTATTAATTTATCACTATTATAATTTTATTTTAGGTTGTTTTTAATTTGTTGTTCGGGTATATGTGTGTCAGCATGGGCTGAATTCTCTCAATGGGGCGAGAGAGAGGATAACAATGATAGTAATAATAGTAATAATATGTCTTTGTAATCTGTTCCACGATAATCTTTTCTATCGGAAACACACATTGGGACTATTGGAATCATCAAGATAATTAAAGCAATTAGGAAGGATCATTGGATATAATAACTATCTAACTAATAAATAAGTTAGTAATAGGTTAGAAATTTATTATTATTTCATGTATGGGTATTTTTTTTTATTATTAATTTATGCAGTATTCCATTTATAGTTTTTTTTTTATTACAATAAAAAATAATATTTATAAAATATACCCACGAAACCAACCAATCAGAGAACGAGAGAGAGAGTAAGAAAGATAAAGAAAGATATTAAGGATATTATTGTATTTAGATCTTTTAGATATTAATTTACTAATTTATCCATCACATCACTTATGTATTCAGATAATCACCTAGTAATATACGAATAAATTCTTTATAATCACATATCTCAACTACCTAAAATATAAATAATGGTGCATGTGTAATATTAACAAATCTAGAGGTTTCTTTTCTTTCCTATTATTAAAGATGCTTATTATAATTGTTTATTATTATTTATAATAATTGTTTTTGTTAATTAATAATAGTAATAATAAGTATCGTTAATAATATTATATTATGTTATGTCACTGATGTTATCTATCATTCATTGTATCTAAATGTATGTGGTTTGGAAAAATGACGAAATGTGATTATTGATAAAGTTTAAATATACAGTTTATAATGGTAATAATTATTGTTTAAAAAAATTTTGTTTGTTGTACGCGCGTATAAATAAAAAAAATTTTATTACTAAAGCCACCAATTATTATTTATTTATGTGATGGTTTTAACGCGTTTTTAAAGTGATATTTATTGAAATGTCAAGGATTTATTTATTTATTTATCCATTTTATTTATTCTAATATATTTATTTATTTATTATTATTATAACAATTACTTTTATATATATATAATATAAAAAAATATGCTGATATAAAAAATTTTTTTTTCAATTATTGCAGTTTATAAACAATAATTTAAATAGTCAGTACCCCACAAACAACTCCCAATCCAAAATATTATTTTTCCTCGTAATAAATAAACAAATAATAATAATACAATCTTTTTTAACAATAAAATTGCAGAATTACTTGTTTGTGCTTCATTTACATATATAAATATAAATAATATATGTAAATATATGTAAATGTAAATATATGTAATAAAAATATATAAATATTATATATTCCTACTGCCTACTAATTTCAATATAATTATTTCGACTTTTTTTAACAATTAACATTCACCACCACCATCATATTATCATCATCATCATCATCATCATCATCATCGACCATCCAATCCACTTTAATAATTATTATAATCTGATAATTAAATTTAATTCATTAATACCAAAAATTGAACGAATTACACACACGCCTTTGAAGACATTTATAATAATTATATAATATAAAAATATTTTCCCCGCGCATTTTTTTAATAATAACTGTTGTCTAAGCAGTGTGTATATGTTTTATTCTTTTTGGATGATTAAAATCAACTAATTAATAATTAATAATAATTTAATTCTTTTTATATATAAAAAATTTTTTTTATAAAATCCCTTTATAATTTTCCATTCTCCAAACTTCATCTCTTCTCCTTTTTCTTTTTTTTTTCCATAAAGATAAATTATTATTATTATTATTATTATATCATATCATATCATACACATATATTAATAATTAATAATAATTACCTTTTTCTTAAAAAAAAATTTTTTTTCAAGAAAAATTAATTACGCTTTCTATCTTTCTTCTAAACGTTTCCTCACACTTCTTTCTTTAATAACGATACACAAAAAAAATTTTTCACACTCAAATTTTTTTTGGAGGAATTAAAAACAAAACAACAATAATAATAATATCAAGAATGTATAATAAGAACGACAAGGTATTTATTTATTTTAATTAATTGATTGATTGATCGATCAATCAATTGATCTGATCAAATATTTGATCAAGTAGGAATTATATTATCGTGATTATTAAAATTAATTAATTATATTATAATCCTTCTTTAGCTCCGTACATTTTGTCCAATTGTGCTTGTACACGATTATAGCACAAGTGCACATATGGACGAGTATTCACAAGATATTGAAGCGCATAAAAGGCGCGTAAGTCAGATGTTGGACTATAACAGTCAGTTCTGGAAAAGAGTTAAGGAGAATACGCGTGGTAAATATCCTTTATATATTTTATTAAATTGATTGAATGATTGATAACAACACATATTCTAATAATTATATTATTATATCCATGTAATGGTTGATTAGCCACCAAGACATTGTTCGAAATTGATCATTCGATCAATTACAACAAGATAATACCATCATCCCCTGGTATTATCGAAAATTCAATATACACACATCTACAAGACCAAAAGGCCGACAACCCCATAAATCCCAAAATAAAGCGCAAAAGGGGTAATCTCCCCAAAGCAACCACTGCTCTACTAAAAGAGTGGCTCTCACAACACAAAAAACATCCTTATCCAACCGAGGATGAGAAGATGGCTCTTGCGAGGGGAACGCAATTGAGCTTGCAACAAATAAGCAATTGGTTCATTAACGCAAGGCGGCGTCATCTGCCGCATTTGCTAAAAAATGATAAAATCCAATCCCTCAACAACAACAACAATAACAACAACAACAACAACAACAACAACAACAACAACAACAACAACATTAATAACAACAACAACAATAATAATAACAACAACAATTTATTACTATCTCCGCCTTCAAGTGAGGTAGACATGTATCCCTGTGGCTCAACAGGAGGTAAATATGCAAATTTAAATTATCACATCAAATTAGTTATTGTTGTCACTGTCATCATCCACAATATAATTAATATATTTGATTTTATAGATAATATTCCTCATCACATTGCTTTAAAGCAACGCGCACCCAAGCGTAGAAGAAAAAGCCTTTATACACATAGAAGGAGATTTATTAATTAGTTCTTTCCTTCTATTTTTTTTTTTTTTTTTCGATTAATAATAATAATAATAAATGATAATAATAATATAACAACAATAACAAAAAAACAACTATGATTAGATTTTTTTTTTTTAATTTTTTTTTTTAAAAAAAAATTCTATATGGGTGAAAAAAGTCAAGATTTTAATTATATATAATTTTATAGAATTTTAAAGACATAAAAAAATTTTAAAAATCCATGATTTATTTTAATTTTTCAAATAATCCCAATATGTAAAAAAACTCTACGGTGTTTGAGTATATATATATATTTTTTTTTTTTTTGTAAAAATTTTTTCTTTCGTTTAAAAAATATTCGTAACCTTGTAAATTATAAATATGTCTTTTTTTTTTTAGTTTTTCTTTTCTCTCTCTCTTTAGATTTAAGATTTTTTTAATATATATAAAAACAAGATTTTTTATTAAAAATATTATATATATATATATATATACACACATTTATAAATAACACTCCCTTTTATTATTTTTTTTATTTTTTTTTTTTCCCTCTAAATATTTTATTTACTACTTTCTTTACCGGTAAAGCAAAGTTAAAAATTTTTTTTTTTAAATTTTATCAATTATTATTATTATTATTTGTTATTTATTATTTATTTATTTTTCATAATTTTATTATTATTAATTAATTAATGAACGACAAAAGAAAAAACGAGAGAAGAAATTAAAAATTAAATTTGTATATATAAATATAACATGTTTTATTTATAATATATAATACTATTTATCACTATTTATTAATAAATATAAATACAAATATATATAGGTATATAAGTATTAACGTGGGCCTAATAGTTTTATAAATGACTGCTCGTTTAACAAATAGAACATACAATCTCCCAAATCTCCCAGATTAGAGAGTCCAATTGGATCTTTTTGATATCGAGAGCGTGTTGAATAAGTGCTTGTGAATGTCCAAATATCATTGTAATTGGTTGGTGTAGGTGTAGGTATATATATATAAGTTTTTTTAGAAGGGTGATAAAGTGGTTACTGAATGAGGATCCCGAGGTTTTATAGTGTAGTAGCCACACTAGAATGAAATGCATGACGGGCTGATGCGCACAACAGCATCACGTATCTTGGCAATAGTGAGTGATCTTTCTATTGATAGGTTCCAATTGTTGGCTGTTTGAGGTTTCCAGCTCCATTATTAGGCTCAGTTTTGACATTCGATGTTTTTATGTAGAAATAACGTGGCCTTAGTATATATGAACCTTGTGATTGACTATCAAAGAAATACTTTATACATATCTCTTTGCCAACATAAAAAATTCAAGACAGCTGATGTTCCGGCTACTTTATTATTATAGTTCTATCGTTTTGGCAGACATAAGTATGGCAATATCTCAAATATGATGCAAGGATTTTTTAAGCCAATACAATAATATTATCAATATTATGCCTACTTATCCCTTTGTCGCTTTGAATCTATCTCGCTTATCAAATCAGGACATTGGGTAGCAAGGCCGCAATTATGTCAACTCCATTGGTGAATTCTATGTTGTTCTTCATGATTGGGAGGGAATAATTTCTAATGAGAAAGTTAAACTGTGAACAATCAATTTTAAGCACAATATAAATTATACCCAACCTGTTCTATCTTTTTCTTGACATTTGATGGTAAAATCCAGATAGAGAAAAAGAGGGGGGTACTGAATAAAGCTGAATATCGCGTAAAGTTTAAGATATATGTGTTATTATTAATTTTTATGCGATCCGCAAAAAGGCACTGATATGTGAAATAGAAGATAAGGGAAAGAAGCGAAAGAAGCGAGAGCGATATATCTAACATTGCTAGTTGTCAAGATTAGATGTTTATCCCCATAAATTACACTACTTTAGAAATGTCATATAAATTTTTTATAAAGATTCCACTAATTGTTATTGTTTTGTTTTGTTTTGTCCACAAGCAGCAACTTGAGCAAACTACAAATATATAATAGGTAAAGCTTTATATATAAAGCCTTTTCTTTTCTCTTTTTCCTTGTGATTAATTTCAGCCTTTTCAGATTTACGTTTAGCTTATTCGGCTTTCTCGCTTCCCGAATGGCCTCTTGCAAATCGACTATGGATATCAGTATTTATTTATAAAAATTAAACAATATTTAATTGACCATAATAAAAAATGCATTTTTCTCGTTATAATAATAATCACTCTGATAAATTTTGCCTTCACGCAATTGATACTTTAGGAGAATTTGTATTAGAAACTATTCAGGATTTCGAGTTTATGGATTATCTGAACATTGTCCAAGATATCGAATACAAGATTTATATCCGGAAGGATCTTATTTATTGCTATTACCACAAGAACTGAATAAAACTTTTACTGATTATATCATAGATGTTTGACACCTTCATAGTAAATATATTACTCGTTGGTGTTTGATAGTGAAAACATGATGAACTGAACCAACAACAATATTCTATTGAATGATCCAAGGATTGAACTGAAATTGAATGAATGTTCTATTGACTTTGATTTAAAAGTCTTTGTAATTAGTTTGTGAAAAAAATTTGTTCTCTTCCTTTCTCATCATCATAACAGAAGAAAATTTTATTTATCTCATTTGCAATTTCAAAATTATTCAAAGATGTTGACCAATGGTCATTGGTCATTTCGATGCTATTAGAAAATTCAAAACAAAAATTTCAATTAATCGATTCGATCGGAAAAAAATAGAAAGAGCGATCGATCTTGTTATAAGTTATGGTAATTGATTAGCTGCATATTCACAAAGAGATATTCTAAAGTTAATTATAAAAAACAATTACAATTTTAGGTGATAACAGGTAAAATTCAACAAACAGGTCGAACATTTATTTATATTATCAAGTATTTTAAACAATTAATTGAGAGGACTAACTTATTGTGTAAGTCATAGTAAAAATAATGTTGGCCAACATTATAAAAAGAATTTAAAATAATTTAAATATTCTTTTTGGAACAATTTCAAAAAGTTAATGTGTGAAATTATTTATCTCCAATATATCCATCCTATTAATTTTATAATTAATCAATAAGTAAATAAATCAATCAATATCAATCAATCAAGAGGACATTATTATTATTACACTTACTTTCTCAAGTAGTAAAACAATTCGATGACAAATTTCACTAATACTTTGTTTACTAACGTCAACAACAATATCTGCATCATTCGGTTTCTCATATGGATCATCTACACCTGTAAAGCCTTTAATTTCACCAGATTGAGCTTTCTGTTATTATTATATATAAATATATACGATATTTAACGTCAATACAGTTTGGTAAATAATGGTTTCTTTTTCATATCTTTTATTTATGTATGTACCTTGTAAATTCCTTTTCTATCAGTCTTGATACAATATTCCAATGGTGTATTAACATGAATTAAAAAAAATCCTCCATAACTCTCAACATTTTTTTTTGCTAATTTTCTTGCTTCATCAAATGGGGCGATGGGCGCTGCTATGACTGCTGCTCCCGCCTTTGTCAATTCTGCTGATACGAATCCAATTCTTGTAATATTCTGATCTCTATCCTTACGAGAAAATCCAAGTTCTAAACATTCAAAAAATCCATCGCGATCAAAATAATTTCTAATATAGTTTATATAAATAATATTGGATGTTCACACTTACCAGAACTTAATTCTTGTCTAACAGTTTCACCCAATAGCAATGTAACGCTTCTTCCGCCTTGTTGATTTAAAACAACCTGTAAAGCTTTAGCGATTGATTTTTTACCAGAATTATAATATCCTGTTAAGAATAAGGTGAATCCTTGCTTTGCTCTTGGTGGATGAGTTTGTCTTAAAAGTTTTACTACTTCTGGATATGAAAACCATTCTGGAATATGTCCACCTGTACGCAATCTCCTACGCAATTCAGTACCTGAAATGTTAAGTGTATTTGTGTCAGGTGGTACTTCATCAATTGGTACATACTCATCAGAATCTGGTAAATATGTTACCATTTGAAACGGAACAACCTCAATTTTTAATTCATCTTTATATTCAGCAACCAATTCCTAATCAATATTTGTATATGTGTACATATTAACGAGTGAATGAATATTGATTGATTGATTAATTTATTGATTGATTGATTACGGATAAAAGAAAATATATACCTGAGCTTGATATGGGCCATAAAAATCTTTACCATGACTATTTTTACCAGGTCCTGCATGATCTCTACCAATAATAAAATGTGTTGCGCCAAAATTTTTTCTAATAATTGCGTGCCACACTGCCTCACGCGGACCTCCCATTCTCATAGCTAATGGCAATAACCCTAAAGCCGCCATACCATTTGAATATTTTGACATTATCGTTTGATAAACTCTTACTCTTGTATAATGATCGATATCGCCTGGTTTGGTTAATCCTACAACCGGATGAATTAAGATGTTGGCTTGACGAATACGTGCAGCTCTTACTGTTAATTCGCGATGAGCTCTATGCATTGGATTACGTGTTTGAAATGCTACCACTTTTGTCCAATTCAATTTTTTAAAATACGCTCTTAATTCTGCTGGTGAATCTATTATTTATATACATACGATCGATGGGACACAAAATAATTTAAGAAAAAACATCTCTTTTCATATTGACTATACGTAGATATAAATAAACATACTTACATCTGTGAGTCACATAATCATAGTGAATAGGTGTTTGAATGGCTTCAACATTTCCACCAACATAAAATTGTTTAACCTTTTTGTGCAAGTAATCAACACCAGGATGCGCCAAATCGTTATATCCGAAAACTTTTATAGCTTCGTTTATTTTATTTGGTTCATAGATATCTTTAATGGTGAGTATTGCCAACGGTGAATCGTCTCTAGGATCACGCAATACTACACGCTCACCAACAGCAAGATTAAGTGTGAGAATATCATCTTGCGAAACATCAAGTGTAATTGGAATTGAAAATAGTAATCCATTCTTTAATCGAAGGTTATCCACCACACTAAAGAAAACAAATTTTTTCGATATTTAATCGTATAGTTTAATTTATAATTCGATTGATTTATTGATTTACTTTTTTTACCTTTTGTAGTCTTCTTCAGTCATGAATCCTTCTAACGGTGAAAAACCACCATTAATTATTAATTCCAAATCACATAATTGACGTTCAGACAAAACAATTGATGATAATATTTCAGATTCATTCCTCAATTCTTGTTGTTTCGAAGCATCTCTAGAAAGTAAATCTTTTAAAATACCCCCGTGTGGTTGATTTGCCATTTTAATTTATTTGGTTTTTAAAAAAATATAAAAAATTTTTAATAATCATTAGTTTTTTTATACGTTTTTTATAATAGCAGCAAAGTTTTACGCGAAATGGCACGGAAATCACGCAATTAATTTAGTTATACTACAGTCATATAATCACTCCAGATCATTTGTATTAATAATCATGATAATCTGTCCGCGGGTGTTATCGATCGATCCATATGTTACATATGAATTAACATGATACTTCATTTATGGAAATTTATACTCGTTCATTTTTAATAATATTTGATATGAAAGGAAACATAGAATTTATTTATATATCATATATCCTTTCATTTATACATATTAAAGTGGGAAAAAAAACTTAACGGTTGTGATGTATGAATGAATGGAATGAATGAATACCTGTTACGTTTGATATAATTGGCAGGGAAATTTATTCCGTAATATTATGAATGACATAAACTGTTGATTATATTTTAACCATAATGAAGAAATTATTGGATTTGTGCAAGTAACTTTATATTATAAAAAATTATTATAATTTGGACTACTGATATATTAGAACAGTATACTATATATATCAATTGAAAATTGGTATTCTTAACATTGCTTGAAGTCTGCTTGAGATCTATAGAAAATTTTATAAATTTTCCAACGAAAAGAATCTGCCAATCAATCTTTTTCTCCGTTCCACGTGCATATTAAATGCAAAAAAATAAAAAACCATGCATGATTCGAAAGTACTTTTAAAAAAAAAAAAGAGCACTATGGAAAGATCAATGTTGTACAAGCATTTACTTGCTGCGGAATTCTCAATTAAATTTGTGCTCGTGTTACAATTAGGCTTTTGCTTAGTTTTATTATTTAAACTTTTTTACTAATGAAGGAAGCTTCTATTAACAGTGTTCCCAGTCCTGATATTGAAAAAAAGCTAACCACTAGCAATGAAGAGTTTATTGCAAATGATCAAGAAATAGTTGAAGAAGCTTTAGAATCGGCCCAAGTTCAAAAAGACATGCCTTTGACAAGCTCAAAATCAGATAATATGCCTACAAATATATTACTTGAATCATTATCATCAAATGAACAAACCACTCATATACCAAATATGAATATTAGCCAAGAAATAATTGACGAGCCAAAAGAAATTAACATTAATGAACCACCATCTAAAAATGAAAATATTGATCAAACTAATAATACGGAACTTGATTCTTCCAGTATTCAAGTCAATAATGCAAATATTTCTACAAAAACATCTGACCTTTACGAGTCGCAAAACAATAACGTTAATGTTAATAATGACAATAATGTTAATAATTCTGATAATTCTGATAATTCTAATAATAATGTTAATAACGTTAGCAACAACATCGACATCAACGACAATAATAATTACAATTCTGAAGAGTTTATGAGATTTGAATATGGACAAACTTTGCAACAACCAAGTTCCAATATTACTAATTCTATTCGGAATTCCCAAATTAATAATAATAATAATACTATAGATAATTTATCTGGTAATACTGATCAAATTATTGATAAAGAACATCACTATAGGTTTCATAATCACTATCCTCCAAATTCCCAAATAGAAAATGAAAATAATAATAGTAATAATAATGATAATAAGGCCCCATTTAGCTTGCGTAAATTAACAGATGCTGAATTCCAAGCTCTGCCATCGGGATCTCGTTTATTTTTGGGAAATTTATCCACTCATTCAACTTCCAAAAAAGAGCTTTATGATGTCTTTTCCCCTTATGGTGAAGTTTTTCAAATATCTATTAAAAACAGTTTTGGTTTTATCCAATATGATAATCCTGAGAGTGTTAAACAAGCGATCGAAAGAGAGAATGGAAGGGTTTTACATGGATTAAGATTAGGCAAGTAAATGTTATTTGGTTCTGTAAAATTAATAAATTAATAATAAATTAAATATTTCTTTAAAATATTATAATTTATATATACATCAACAACGCATAATAGGATTGGAAATTTCTCATGGTAAGCCACGTCACCATTCACCAAATCAAGATATTGGAACTAAACCTAATTTTGGGCGTCGTCATGAAAAACGTTGGAACCAAAAAAGTGGAAATAAAAACAATTGGCATAACATCAAACGAGAATATTCACCTGTCCGGGGACATAATACTCAAACTCGTAGTGATCGTCATTACAATAAGGAGGACAATGAAAGAGGAAATTATCATGATCAAAGGACCAATAATAGATCTAAACCATATAGAATTCCCAATAGAGATTATTTAGAACGTAAACAAAGTCGTGATAATAGGCCACAATCACAGGATAGGACCAATGATGAATTTCCTTTACCTAGAAGACAAGGTAATGAGGTACCAGAATGTCAAATAATTGCTCTCGAAGAAATTGACCGGTTGGTATCCTAATAACAATAATAAAGAAAAATATTTTATAAATTACATGTTATTTAAAAAAAAAAGTTTTTTTTAATATAATGTTTAGGAATTATTTGTGGCAAGTGGAGCATGCATTCAAAGAAGCAAATATTACTGTTCATACACTTCATTTGTCTAGAAAACTTCAAATCCAAGCAGTTGTTCGTCAGATGATTGTAGAGGGTGTTCGTGCAGTCATATTTTTGGAAAGAAATCTTGCAATTAATGGTAGGGTCAATATGCAAATATTTGAACATCAACGTTCTCAAGACAATGTAAAATACGATGGTTGGTTTATTTTTATTTTTTAATACTTTGTGTATAAATTATTATTATTATTATTATTAACTTAAATTTTAAAATAACTTAGAATATAACAATATTAAATTAGGAGAGGCAGTTGGATTGTTGTTGCGAGCTCGTGATTTATCAGTTTCATCAGTTCCTGTTAACATTCGACCTCCAGATAATAATAATATTTTAATGACCGGCCAACAAATTTTATCCCCAACGCAACAAACTGTTCCAATTACAGAGCAACTAAATGCAGCAGCAAATATTAGTCCAATTTCATTGAATAATGTTAATTTTGCTGCACTCGCCAATTTGCTTGGTAGTTTACAACAGCAACAGCAACAACCAACAGCATCCCAAAATGCTCATTCTATTCAAGGAATACCACCTATGCAAGTAATCCCACCTGGAACTAATTTACAACATCAGCCAGGTTTTATGCCTATACAGTCACATGATTTTGATGTACAACGAATACTTGGAAATTTACCTGCAAACACTTCTGCAATTCCAAATCAACAACCATATATGCAGATGCCCCCACATAATCTTGCACAACAGCCTGCTCCTTATAATGCTTCAATGGCTAATCAGCCTAATGTTGGCAGTCCAAATGTTATGCCCCCTAATACTCTTCCTCAACATCAATCCCAACATGCCGTGCCAAATTTACAACAGTTCCCTAATCAAATTCCTGGTAGTTCTAATGTATCAGATCTTATGGCACAATTCAATAATTATAATAACCAACGTTAACATTATTTTTTTGATTATATTCTTTTGGGCTTAAAGTTCCTTAAAAATCTCAAAATATATATTTACCATACACACATGCGTCGAATTTGTATATTGTGTCAAATCTGCTGTTTTTATGTATCGAGCTTTTTATTCTTAAATCAATTATTTATTTTTTTTATATTTATAAATTCTTTTTAGATAAAACTTCCAAATGAAAACATCTGAAGTCCTAGATTATAACGTTATTTGCAATCTTTATGTACATATATATATACATACACACATATTTTTATATTAATAAATTGATAATACTAATATATAATGTGAATCTAAGTGTCTTTTTATTGATCCACTTTATTTTAACTATATAGTACAATGCATATAGTAAAAAAATTTTTTGTTGTTGCAAGTTTCATATAAAAAAAGTCCACCAAATTGTCCCCACTGTATAAGGTAGTAAATAAATATAAAAATGAATTAAATTCAAGTCCAAGTGTATTAAATATACATGACAACTGTTTAATGTTTTCTAGCTTCTTCTTAATCTAATAGTTTTTGTTTTTTTATATTTAAAATAGAATCAAATTTATAGATGCAATCTGCGCCAACATGATTTATGGGTATATATAAAAACATTAATGGTTTACGAAGACACGAAGCTCAAAAACATAAAGAAATGTAGTAGTCCGCCTGTAAGTATATCATAAGTTCCTAAATTTTTGGTCAGGCAATTAAACAAGAAATTATATCTGGTTTTTGGAGTTGTCACTATTATAAAAATAACAGAAATGGAAGAGGCTAGAAGAAATTTGCTCTAGTTTGTCATGAAGCTATATTTGTTCAAATATTTAGAAATTATATAACAAGATATTCAAGTGTTGATAGGTAGTATAGATGTGTTTTTAAAGGAGTGGTGGGAAAAGAAAATTTAAAATGAAGGTTTGAGGTCAGAAGAAAGGCCATTAAACATTATGAAAGAATGATTCTAATATATGTACACGATCAGAAGGTGGAGGGGATGCAAAAGGAAATAAAAAATGTAGATGGTAGGGAAAATGAATAAGCAATAAGTTGGCTATTAAGTTATGTATAAATAGGAGCACCTAAGATTTTGGTAACTAATAAAAATTATGCTAACTATACTAATAATTATTACTATGGGTCCTTTATAGTCCCCATGTCACGAATTATGCTTCGAGTCACGAATTATTGCTCGCGTTACGAATTATTGCTTCATAAGAGCCTAGCTTTCATATGATTATTACTTGGGATGTCAAAATTTTTTTTTACCATTCGACAAAAATTTTTATTAATTGTAATTTGTTGTGCTAATTATTAATAATAAAAAACATATGTTAAATTAAAAAATAGCAAACATACAGTATTAGTGTATTTTACATTTAATTGTTTATTTTCTTTTATAGTTATCCTAGTGGGTTTAGCTATTGCAGAAGGAATATTATTGCAGACTGTTTGGTCATGTGATTTACAGTGTCATCAACAAGGGTACCTCTTTTATATCCCCTTTGGATGTAACTGAGGTGGGATATAACTAAGGAAGGATAATATGTGGGATATAAACGATGAATTCTTTTAAAATACGTTTTATTAAAACAATTTAATATTAAACATGTTTAATTCACCCTCACCAAGGTCGTCGCCAAGATCACCGCCAAGATCACCACCAATCTCCCCTACAAATTCAAATCATTCAGAAAGTTTTGACTCGAACAAAGTTACCAATAATTCAGTTACTTTAAACAAAACTAAATCGGAAAATGGAATAGACATTTTTGGGGATGAAAATGAAGAATTATCGGATGTTATTGATAGTTATTCAGAATTTGGCTCTGGAGATGACTATTTAAACGATAGCAGAAAAACAAAAAACAAGAGCAAGAGGAAAAGACAAAGAAGTTCTCCCGAGAGATCTATTGCTGGCAATAAGAATGGACATGATGATGAAGAGTATACTCCTCAACAAATAAATCCTAAACATAGACGTCAAAGATTAATACAAAAAAGACGACCTCGAAGGAAAACTGACGATATAATTAGAGAAGATGACATTGAAAAAAATGAAAATGAAAGGAACGAAAGGATCACTCAAAAAAATCCTGAATTGGCACCTTTATTGGAATCAAGAAGGATTGTTGATGAGGATTTTGCAGAATTCCTTCCAAAAAAACGAGGCAGGAAATCGAAAAATGATGAAATAGCGTTGGAAAAGTTGAATGACGAAGAGGCAGAACGTTTATGCCAAATCATGTTAAGAGCAGCTGATGACGATGTTAGAGGAGTTGATAACGGGGATCCATGTCATCGAAAAATAAATATGTTGGATGCTGTTGTAGAAAGACTATCGAAGCCATATTTAACTGAAGCGCTTATTGATAATAATATATTGGATGCCGTCAGATATTGGCTGGAACCTTTACCTGATAGAACATTACCAAGCATCACTTTACAGTTAGAAATGATGAAAATACTTGATCGAGTAAGTATATTTCATTAAAATTTATTTTGATAATTGTTTAATTCCTGAATAATGATTAATATTCAATTTTCGATAACTAAAGTACCCGATTACTACAGATAATTTATTATCTAGTAAAGTTGGAAGAATTGTTTATTTTTACAAAATTTCCTCGCGTACTAGTGAAGTAGTAAGGCAATTGGCTACTAGGCTTGTAGAAAAATGGAGCAGACCAATACTTGGATTGAGTGATGATTACCGAGAAATAGCTGCTGCACATTTTGATTTTTATCGTGATTCGTATGTATAAAAATATTTTTATTGAAATTAATAATGTCAAATATCACTAAATATTATTTATTATTATTATTATTATTATATTATTCTACCATTATTAAATAATACCACTGCTATTCAGTGGACAACAAAGGTAAAAAATGGTTTTCAAAAAAAAATTTTTTTCAATTATCTTTAAATTCACTTATTAAATAAATTGTATTTTAAATAGTAACGAAGATCACGAGCCTACTCAGTCTCATTCAATTTCGACAGATGTTAATCAAGCAAGGAACTTTCATGTTCACAGAAAAGAAGATCCATATCGCTCATTGAAACAAACAATGCGTAGATTAGAAAGAGGGACCAAAAAAAATTAATCGATTTTTTAAAATAAAAGGATATTTATAAATCATCCGAGGTATAATTTTATAATTGTGCAAGAAAATTTATTACATAAAAAAAATTTTTTAGTCTTTACGGGAAAATATAGCAATTAATTAGGATTTAGTTATCTTTGTATATTTATATTTAAAGCACAACGATTGTAATACCATATTTATTTAATAAATTTTATTTGATTTAGCTTTTCATTAATATTACTTTGATTAAATTTTAAAGTATAAACAACTTGAATATTTATTAGTGTTAATTTAAAAAGTTAAAAGTAAAATGGTCAGATTTGTCTTTCTAAATAGTAGATCTTCTGTTTTAAGATCATTCTTTTGTCTATATATATTATATAAATCAATATAGAGTAAAAAATCTGCTATTAGATATCCAAATAAATTTGTCTATATTAAAAGTATTTGGATTAAATTGTTCAAATTAAAAAGGAAATAATATATACAACTATTAGTAAACAAAAATCACAAAAAAAAAAAAACTGCCCCTTTAATAATTCAAAAGAAATAGTGATAACAAAAAAAAAAGAAAAAAAAAATCAGACATCCTATATTGTAATCTAAGAAATCTAAGAAATCTAAGAATGTTTCAATAATATATATATGTATATAATTAGTGAAACCATAAATATTTAGGTTTGAACCTTTTCAACTTCTGCCTTTGCTTCCTCCCAGCTATTAAGATTCTGAAAAATATTTTATATGGTTATTTTGGGAAGGCATAAATAAAATATTGCTTAACATTTTTATATGAATTAAAAAAAAAAACCTTTTGACACCACTCGATGTGATTTTTTGCATAGGCAATCAACATGTCTCTGATATCGCATACTTTTTGACATTGAAAACGGTCTAAATCGTTCTGGATAGAAACTGATATATTTTTTAAATCCTCAGTAGTTGTAATTACTGCTTCGTCCAGCTTTTTCAAGAAAAAAGAAAACGTGTTAAAATTATTTTTCATTTGTTTTAACTCAGTTGGTAAAAATATTTACTTGAATTATGGAGTCACGGGTTCTACCAATTCTGTTTCTTCTTGTAGCTTCTGGATCCACATCCATAATACCGTGAATTTTATGACTAAGAACTGAAAGAAGTTTAGAGCTACTGCTATTTCTTTTCTGAGATTTTGACCCCCCAAGAGCAGATGATGTAGCTGAGATATCACCATTTTGTGATAGATAGTCAAAATGACCATTACTATCATTGTTATTTATATCAGTGTTAATTTCTTCAATCGCATTGAAATGTCGAGCGTTAGAGTCTTGAACGCCACGTTCTTTGTTTAAGGCCTCCTCTAATCTTCTAGCTTCTTGTTCAGACCTTTCCAAATTTTCTAAAGTTATTTTTTGCTTTTCAAGTGTTTCACTGGTAAGTTCCATTTGCAAGTGCTTTAAATGTCTATATTTTAAAACTTGTTTAATTGCTTGAGCATATTGTGAATATTCTTGTAGTGGTTCATTAAATTCAGATTCAAGGGATGAAGTCTTCAAAAAAGACATAATTATTAATAAATAACCTAATATTAATCCATGTTAGTTTGAATTAATCATGAAAACCTACTAGTTCACTTGTTGCCATATAAGATGAATCCACTGCCTGACCTACTTTTTCAATAGCGCTAGCAAGATCATCATGATCACTCTCATTTAAACTGAAACCGTTATAAACAGCACCTAATTCAGAATAATCACTAGATAAATCTTTACAAAATTAAAGTAAGTATCATATGAATTGAAAAACGAGAATCTTTTTTAAAAAAGAAAGGAGACCGATAAATAATAAACTTCTACCATTTAAACGTTTCCAAGTTCTTCTATTAGTTTTTTCCATACTTTGACCAATATGATAAGCAAATTTACTAGTAAAATTTTCAGAGTCGACAAAACGTTTATCTGGATTTTTTAATACACCTTGATAGCTAGGAGTAGGAAGTTGAGTTGTTGTTGATGGTGATTGTTGTTGCTGCTGCTGCTGCTGCTGCTGCTGTTGCTGCTGCTGCTGCTGCTGTGAATTCAAAGGTTGGGATGAAAGATTTGCGGGTGACACTTGAAGAATATTTTTTGGGAGATTAGATAATGGAGGTGAGTGAAGCACTTCATTCTACACCAATATAGATGTGTGAGCGCGTGTTAGTTAATTTTTACCGAAATATAAACAAATGTATTTTATAATAGAATTTAAATACCCAAGAAACATTAGGTTCCAAGAAACGATGGAATACATGTTCACTCGAAAGTTGAGGATGTTTAGCTACACGATTTAAGAAAGTTTGTAACATCCTTTTTCTTTTTTCAATTATTGTCATATCTTCCTTTGCTTTAGTTTGCATAGTCGCATAATCAGCTTGATAAAAAAAGCAAATTCCATTTAATTCAAAGATCTGAACTGACAAAAAGTAATTAAAAACCATAACCGTTTAAAACTATTAACCAATTGAATGTTTCTCTGGTATCGGTGGAACAATTAACGTTGGATATAACTTCATCATCACTTTTCGTAATGATTCAAATTCAGAATAACGCCTTTTGACTTCTTGTTCCTAATAATTATTGAATTAAAAGAAACTATTTCAATTGTTGAAATAAATAAAATAAAAAATTTATCAACTTGATCAATTAATTGAACATTATAAAGAATTTAACCAATTAACCTCAATTTTGATGGTATATGTAATGAATGAACTCCCATTATTATCGGTGGTTTTTTGAGCACTTTCAATGGAGATAATTGAGCCATCATTGTGAATGTCACGATCTATTTGACAGCAAAAGACGGCTTTTACTTCTGGTTTATAATTAAAGTTTACTGTCGCTGCAAATGTTTCCTCTTCATCTTGTTCTATTTCCTCTTCATGTTCTGAATTATCGTCAAATTCGTTATTATTAAAAGCTTGTGATTTATACATTTTTCAATTAAAAAGTGCTCAATTTAATTAAAGAAAAACTATTTTGTGATTAGTAATAAGTAGATCACGTTCAAATTGTTTCACAAGCACAATCAATATAACTCAAAATATATAGAGCGATTCTGAGGCTCTTAATAAAAGAATTCTGACGGCTGGAGATGACCAAATCTATATAAAAACCGATGAAAAATAAAGGATTAAGTTATAAAATAATCAATTATGTCTCATCACATGAACCTAAAAGTGTAACGACTTTGGTTCTACCATATTCATTAGTACAAGAGGATATCTTAAACTTCTTTTGAGGCAACTGCAAAAATAAATAAACGAGAAACAATTAATGTTGGATTGGATGGTTTTCATGCGATAATATTCTAACGAGCTAGTTTGATTCATTATCAGTAGCAGACTCGAGTTTGATTACTGGATTGAATCGTCAAGAGAATGAGATCTTTCTTGCATGAGAAACCGTCTCATTACAATCAAACGGAATCTTTTCAGACATTGACCTTAGAAGCAGATGAGAGTGCAAAAGAAGCATTTATTGCTTGCATTAGAGCTTGGATCCGGATATTAAAACTATCCATTTGTATATTGTGATAGAAAAAACGGTTTTATCGAAACGTCGTTCAATCATATGACAGCATGTGACATAGCCCTTTTTTGTTTTTTTCGTAATATTTTAATTTAAAAGAAAAGGTACACACACTGTGTCACGGAATCGTTGAAAAATCAGTATAATTTAATATTGATGTCGTATTAGTATTAGTATTAGATCAACCAAACTTTATACTAATACTAATACTAATATGGATATCTAGATATTTTCCCGTTAAATGGGAAGATTTTACAAATGATACACATATAAACTCGATGAGTCGAACGCAAGCAATCAATTGTTTAAAGTACTTTATAATATAAATAAATGTCTGACTTATCGCATTTACAAGTGATAATAGTCCATTTACCAAAATTGTGAAATTATTCACATAATTACATTCCCAAGCCTGAAAGTTATTTCTCAATTCTTCTTTGATTCTTTTGTGATATATTTTGCATATTTTATAACTGTTGCTAGTTTTAATTTTAACAGTACGAGAATGACTATATATTACTTCTTCATCTGTAAAAATAGTGTATCCTTGCTTTCTACAAGCATTCATTGACCCATATATCTTTTCCCTCTAAAAAACCTACAATTTCCTCTATAATTTTTTATGTTTCAAGTCATAATCAAAACCTTTCTTGCGATATCAACAAACAATTTTCTGATACTCTGCTACTGCTACGATATCATTCCATTATATAGTGAGATGCCCTTCCATTTCTATCAAAAAAATATTCATTACTATTATTAGTTGGTTTAATAAATTTTCAAGAAGCATCAAAATATTATCAGAAACAAATGATTGTTATTTAAATTAACCAAATTTTTGGTAAGTAAATAGATACTTTAACAGTGATGTCCGTCTGTATTTTCGTTCTGTGGTCTTTGGAGGCTCTCCTTCCCGAAAATCATATTAAATTATAACTATCGCAGCATTTTTTTCAAACATTTTCACCTTCCCGCAGTACAAAATTCAATCTCCTTCTGGAAAGAGCGGTTGAGGTTCAGCAATGTTAGATGTTGCAGTTATAGTGACAAATCATAATGATATACAAGGATAATATTGTAACTGAGGCAATGTATGCATCAGAAGAAGTTAAACGAGCAAAAATCCATGTTGGTTTGGTTAATACATCAATTCTATTTATAGCCAGGAGAAATCTACATTTTATTTATGTCCATAATATACAAAACGTTCTAAGCTCGGTGACTTATCCGAGCGAAACTATCTGTGTAGGTAGATGGTTTGTTATACAAATATCATTAAACCTGAAACCATTATTTATTTTATTATATAAATATCATTAATACTAACGCTATTTATTTCAAAATTCTTGATAATAATAATAATGAATCTTAGAAATAAGACTAATTTAAATTAGTAATTATATAAAAAAGTAGCTACAATAGCACATGACACAACAATAATTATTTTATTTATATACATAAAATAAAAACTATGCAATTTAATATTGAAAATTTTTTGCCAATATGAAAACATATATATATAAATAAAAAACTCAATTACATTATCATCATTATTTAGAATCCCAACGACGTTTACGTAAAGTTCCCGTAGATTGTTGTGATTGATTTGAAGGAGATTGTGTATTACTATTAGCAGTTGCTGATGATGATGACGAATTAGTAGCAACATTATTGTTATTATTATTATTATTATTATTATTATTATTATTATTAGTTATCGATGAGAATGATGACGATGACGATGCAGCACTTGATCTAAGTAATCCTAATCCTGATTCAGCTGATGTCGCTTTATGAAAATTCATTTGAATTTTTGAAAAAATCTTTTTGGCAGGAGGACCAGCATCAAGATGCGGTGGAGGTGGTATTTGTACACCGCCACTACTACGTCCACCATCATCACTTCCAATTCCTGCTCTTCCTCCTCCAAGTGGAATAGAATTTGAACTAGAACCAACTGCACCACGACCTATACATATAAATATACAATTATTGAATGTTTTTATTGAATAGCACCGACTAAATGATAATTCATAACAACTTACCACTTCCGCCGCGACCTCGTCCACGACCACTTTTTCCACCACGTCTTCCTCTAATCATATTTCTTGATTTGCGGAATCTATTATTCTAATAAATTATTTTTAAGATATACCATAAGTAATACAACATATAACTCGTTTGTACTTTTTTTTTTTTCAAAAAAAATTTTTTTGACAATTACCTGCATTGCCAAATCCATCAAATCAGTTGGGACAATTTGTCCAGCTAATTCAAGATTTCTAACCAAATCACCTGCAAATTTATCTTCTTTCTTTGTAATAAACGTATATGCGGTACCCTTTTCGCCTATGAAATTTTTAAATAAAAAAAAGTAAAAAAATAATAGAGATTTTCGTTATCATCAATCATTCATATTAAAATTATCAAATAAATAAATAGTTGGTGATAAAATTTACCCGCTCTTCCTGTCCTTCCAATTCGATGTACATGAGAATCAATATCTCTTGCGATATCATAATTAATCACAGTCTTAACTGATTTGATGTCAAGACCTCTTGCTAATATAAATACAATAGAAATGAATTTCTAAAATTATCACAATAATAAAAATAATAGCAAATCATTATCAACAGCTACTATAAAACACGTACCAGCTACATCAGTTGCCACCAACACAGAAAATTTACTATTCTTAAAATCTTTTAATACTTTGTCACGTTCTGACTGCATCATATCACCATGCAAAGCGCCGCCTTTTAAATTTAATTTATAAATATTAGGATAAAAAACTATTCCAACGATCAAATTTTTAAATCACAATACATACATTCATGACCAGCTTGTCGAAGATTCAGGGATAATTCGTCAACTCCACCTTTGCGACTAACAAAAATTAAGACGCTGCCATCTTTATTTTTATAACCAATTAAAAATAATTAAATAATTGAGCAATAAAATACGAGGTTAAAATTAAATAATATGTAAGGTTCACTCACCAACACAAAGTGCCACTAAATTCGAAATCAGCCAGTCCCATTTATACCCATCATCGGTTAGAATAACAAATACTTGTGTGATATCAGTATTTGCCTAAAAAAGTTATTCCCGTTTGTTAAGAAATTTTAAATATCTATTTATACGTATGTGTATATTTGTATACCTGTCCAATATTGCCAATTGATATTCTAATAGGTTCTGTTGTAACTTCACGAGCTAATTTTTCCACTTTTTTGGGAAAGGTTGCACTAAAAAGTAATGCTATTTATAATAATATTTATATTTAAAAATAGTTAGAAATAAATTGATAAATAAGCAACATTGAGAATCTCTGCAAATCAATTAATCAATAAATCGAGCATTTACTTTGTCTATCTGGTCGGATATTATCACATATGGATCGTACTTGTGGTTCTAGATATATTAACGTAACGTTGAATCATAATGATATATCTGGTTAATATTATTATCATCATTATTGCTATTATTATTACTGTCGTTTGTGTTGTTATCATTAATCCAAGATCAAACATTCGATCAGCTTCATCAAGGACCAAGAAACTAACTCGACGGAAATTTGTTGCTTTCATTTTTACCATGTCAATAAGTCTTCCCTGATTTCATATATAAATATTTAAATAAATGTTTTTTCATCAAAAAAAAAATTTTTGACATAATAGTTATTGGTAAAAAAAAATTTGGGTTTTTTTTTTCTTAAACTTACTGGTGTACCAACAAGGATTTCTATATTACCCTGTCTCAGTTCTTTGAATTGATCCATTTTAGAGGCACCGCCATAAACTGCAGCAACTCTGCATTTAATTAGAAAGCAAAGTATTTGGGAAGCAGAGAGAGACAGTAGTGTATGCGTCGATAGGATTTTTTTTTTCTAACAATTTTATATATATGTATATGAGAGATCAAATTCTATGATTTCTACCTCAATCCGTAACTCTTTGCAAATTTTTTGGCTTCAATGTAAATTTGACTTGTCAATTCCCTTGTAGGCGCCAATATTAATCCAATAGGTCCTTCTCCTGATTAATAAGGAAGGATTTGAAATATAATATTTAGTATATAGTGATGGTACATATATAAAAAATAATCTTTTTAATACCTTTTTTAAGTTCTTCTTGATCCATTATGTGTATCAGCATTGGCCATATGAATGCTGCTGTTTTACCAGAACCTATTAATAAGAATTTATTAATGTTGTTGTATCATTATTAACAGTTTCAACTTTCTGAATTGCAAAATTGATCTCTACCTGTTTTTGCTATGCCAATAATGTCTCGAC